GGCTGAAACATATGAAAAGTATACCGATAAACGTTGACAAACCAAAAAAAAAAAAAATCATAAACCCCTTCCATTAGAAGCGGTGAACATTTTTTGCTTTATTTTTTTTTTTTAGCTTAAGGTTTAAGATCTGAAAATTAGACTGAAGATTGGGCTATGACATTTTTCTTAAAAATCTGTAGTTTATTAATTGTTTTATTTAGGAAACACTAAAAAAATTGCACTTTGGCCGTAGTCAGTTTCTACAATCTGTCATTTTTAAATGTAGTCAAATTCGTATAATAGTTTATTTTATCATAACTTAACAAACATTTATTTAAATTCAATTAAATTGCGAAGTCAGGATACATTTTAAAAGTCATAATAAAGTATATATTGGTAGAGTAGTTTTGTTTACATCACTCTTATTGTACACAATCCCGTTTATGATTTAGTAATGTTATTTGTGAAAAGAGTCAAATTCGTTCAAAATAAAACTCTTACAGTCAGTTAAAAGGTAATTTTGAAAAATTGGTATTCACATATTTATATAAGTATATAGTGCATAAGAATAAAAATATTTTCAAGTAAAATTGTATGTGATAAAAGGTTATTTTTAATTTCATGAAAATTCAACTTTTTGGACTAAACCCATTTTCATAGGCGACTAATCATAATTCTTACCTTCAGTTTTCAAATTATTAGATAAAATATAAAATTTGTTGAAAACAAAAATATTCTAAAATAACAAATACCAACAGAGTGTGAACAATGTTCACATTTTATACGTACAAATCAAGGATTGGGGCTTGAATTTTTGGGAGTGCTAATTTTGAGTCTGGGAAAGCTATAGAGTCCCCTTAGCACCCCCCTAGTTGCGCCAATGGTCCTTTGGTAAATAATATGTAGAAATTATTTTGAACATTTCGATAGAAGACTGCAGTCATCCTACAGTGGTAATACTGGTAGATACAGGTATAGTAGATACTATGTTATATATTACCTACGACGTTAAGACGTCGTGCAGTGGCTTACAAGTTTGCTGGTTGTTAACAATAGGTCGAACCGTATATAAATGAATGAATGACTCAACTTGCTTATACACATTCCTGAATCCGCAAGGCCGGCTGTTGTGATTCAACCGGTAAAATGTGACTAAACCAAACATAACTTCCTCTTTACCTATACGGCATAGGTAATAGATGTATATATAAATATACGAGACGTGTACGATAAAATATTATATTATTTTCTAGCATTCTTGTTTAAACGATAGTGGTTTATTTCCACTGGGCGTTTTACGCATCGTGGTAGCTGTTTTGCATGATAATATCACTTCACATACCGATAATAATAATATGTAAACCAGATACTCTATATTGACATCATTATCATAGCCGTGGCGACCATTTCTAGGCAAATCATTGTGTACACGCATTTGAATTATTTTCAATATCATATAATTATTGTTCTCACATAATTGTTGTCAGAATACCGTTTATAGATTATTGTAAACGACAAATATAAGTGTTGTTATTTTCTTAAAAAAAATCTTTCAATTCGCTTCGAGACGACGGTATAATTGTTTTTTCATAATACCAACTAGCCAAAGAATTATTGCAACATCATCTCTAATTAGTTAAAACTCGTTTCGTACAAATAATAATAGTTTTATAATGACTCGATTGACCAGTGACGCGACAAAACACTTTTAAGGTCACGTTCACGCCATTTTCCTTTATCAACCCTGCCCTCTAAAAATTATTATATCATTTTTATAAACTGCGGATGTGTAATTTAAGTGGCGTTGCAAATGACTAGTATTAAAAAAAAAAAAAATAATCTTAATTTATCTACTTTACTCGCAGGAAATAGCTACACCCCACAAAATACATAATGTGTAATTTACCTAAGTCTTAGACAGTAAACTTAACTGGGCCAACCACAATGTAAGCTACTGAAACAAAGACTTAAAAAAAAAAAACAAACTAGCTGATGAACAAGACCAAATATTTCACAGTAAAACACAAGATCATATAAATCCAAACAAGTTTGTAACTGATCGCTAGGTGGATTGCTTCTTTTATCAGGTATTCGCGTTAACAGTGATTTATCCGATTTACTCGTTGTATGTATTCTATGTGTACAGATTGTGAATAAAAAATGTATGATTATAAAAAAAAAAATAAAAACGTTTATTAACCGTCCCTTCGCCGCGTTATCGAGTAGATGCGCTCTACACGCGGGATAGGCAATTAATTGGAGATCCACATACATACGGTGGTGTAAAGGAAAACAGCTGGACCGTAAAAAAATGAATAAAAACACAACAGATACACACAAGTCGGTTATATAATTTTTGGCGCGTGCCGAGCTCACCACAGCGGCTGCTGCTACTGCCGCTACCCTTGTGCCACGCGCCCGTTGGACGTTACGCATTGCGAAGATCTAAATGCACACACACCCGTTAGATCTACGGTCGAGTAGATTTACATTCATGGTCTCTTGAACCCGGTGGATCCAACGGGCGCCAGATGTCCCTCTAAGGTCTTGCTATAATACACGATTAATCGTCCGACAGAACATAATTGCCGCCTATAGGCTATACACACACACACGCACACACTATAAAAACGCCATAAACTCGCAGAAATCTATCTGAATCTCTCTCTAAAAAAAAAAAAAAAAATTTAAATCATCTAACTTTGCTCTTTTTATTACAAATGGCCAATTACTATAACGAGTTGTGATGTGTATAAATATATATTTAGTGATTAAATTTAGTTTCGGAAAGCTGTTTGTGTACTTTTTGCCCGAAATAAAATCAATATTAAAAACGACAAGAGAGAAAATCTCAAATTATTACCTACTTTTTTACATTTTCGGCATAATATGCAAAATCCTATTGACTATTAAATATATATATATATATAAGTATATATGTACCAGCTCATGTACGCCATCAAAACGTATGAAGACTACTCGGCTGTTAAAAATCTTTTGTTTTGTAAATTGTTGTAAATTTTACACCGAGAAAACGTTATACACACTCGGAAGATGCATGGATTGAACCTTAAAATTTGATATTTAAAATACAGTATTTTTTTTTAGAGATTTTATAACAATTAAACTTTTTAAACGTTTTTCTATGATACTTGTTAAAAAAAACATGTTTTTTTATTAGTGATCGAGATTTGTTTTTCCGACAACATTAAACACAAAATGTGTAATTCAATGAAATTAAACTATGTAAAAAATATAATATATTAAATATTAACTTTTTATTTGCTCTGTATTTAAGATCAAAAGAAGCGTTAGATAAAATATCATTTTTGTCGTTATAAATCTTGTCCAGCGGCCAGCTTTTAAGAATTTTGTAAATAGTCTTCTTTATGGATTATAAAAAAAAAAATAAATAAGAATTATTAACGTTGGTAATGCTATCGAATAATCGGATGTAGAACGCTGTGCGTGTATGTAGGTATTAGAATTGAATACCGGTGCAATAGTTTTTTTTCCAAACATCCCATGGCCGTGTAACGGTTTTTCTCGCCCCATCCAAGCGGTGATTTAAGGGTGCGTGCACCGTTGTTGTCGGCATAGTCCCCTTTCAATTATTTACCATAGGGTACAGTGATTCCCAAACTTGCCATAAACCGGGCACCGACCGTATAATATTTTTTCAACGTCGATCAAAAATATAAATATATTTAAAAAATTAATTGAAATTAACGGTAAAAAACGGTAATAGAATGACGTGTTTTATTACCGTTTTAAATACCATATGATCCGAGTGGAAATAAGCTCAACTGATTGACGTTAGACAGTTCCGATTCAATTGTCGATATTAAACATTTAGGACAGTGTGACATTTGAAATATCCGAATAAATTTAAATTATTACCAATTAGTTAACGTTGTGTCCAAAATTTTCTTCCAATACTTATATCCTTTTATACACAGCCTGATAATATATATTGTATGTAACAATACATTTTTTTTTTTTTTGTTATACCTTAGAACGAATGCGGGTATCTTGGACGCGTCTTAGCAGTTATAAAATTGTTAATTAACACTATAGGAATATAATATCTATCTTGATTTACACATTTAACGTTTATTTTCCCCGTTTCCGCCGGCATGACTTTTACAAGAAAAAACCGATTTAAATGTTAAGTATCGTTACACATATCCAGTATTATCTTGTTGTATATAGTTGCTATGCGACATGCGGGGTAACGGTCGTATCCGAATTATATATTATAATAATATTACATATATATATTCAAGTGGTGTGGTATTTTTTCGTTTTGTACCTGCACAAAACTACATCGATGGTGCACTTTGTATCGTTTTAAATATGGTAAAAATATATAAATGAATTTTATTAACGAGGGTCCGAAACAAGATATTTTATTGAGCGCCGGCATACAGCCTTGCTCGCTTGTACATGATAAATTCATAATAATATGCGACATCCGTTACGTTAAACAGCTTAATATAAATCTTAGGGAAAATATGCCACAGTATAATGTTGTGGACTTAACACACACACACACAAGATGGTAATCTTCGATCGTGGATAATCTGCAATTGCACAATCAGACATTACAATATCTTTTAGTAGCAATCGTTCATAGCAATCCTTCACGTTTGTTTTCTACACTCAATAATGTTAACATATTTTTCCTGTGAATAATAATAATTAGCTTAAACGTGGCAAAGGTGGTTACTCTGTATAATGAGGGTACAATATACATACCTAGCTCGGTTAATAGTCGGTTGTCTAAACGGAATCGCACAATAATTACAAAATTTTATTATCGTGCGATCCGTGATTTTCGCTGTTGCCAATTAATACAAGGTGCAATAGAATAGTACCTATAAATGATAATTGCATTTTGTTTTTAATCACGCTTATACAATATGCCTATGCAATAACAGTGCATTATTGAATACAACACACCCGTTTATAATTATTGTTTTAAGTATAACATAAATTGTTGTTGTTTTTTTTTTTAGGTCAGATATTAATACTGCTCGAGTACCTGTACGCTATCTGCAAGAAATGCCGTCATGTTTTTATTGGTAAGTACTAACAAGTAATTAACGTTAAGCGTTAACCTACCACTTAATTATAGCGTTCATATTTCAAGTATTGATGATAATCGATCGATGCGCGTCACTATTTCGGTAATGAGATATATTTACAAATATATCTGGTAATCGGTTATAGGTACTAATATGCGTTAAAAAAAATACAAAAATAAATCATTTTCAACGTTTTAGACGGTTCTCAAAGACGAGATTTACATATTAATATTGATTCCCAAGGATATTTTCTTCTGCATAAGATTAAACCAAACAAATTTATTTATGAGACTCTATTTCCGTAGTGCAATTAACATACCCGCTTCAATATAGTAGCGGTTCGTTTTTTTTTTTAACCTTTTCCTACAGACAAAATTAGAACAGTTTAGAAAACTTTGTAGAATACTGATAACGTACTGATAAACTTTAAAAATTCCGTTTCACAGCAAAAAGTGATTTTAATTATTTTTTTTTTTTTAATATGTTTTTACCAAGTAGATATATAACAAGAGTCTTATCGAGTATATATGTATTGGACGGTTTAATGTGTTCCATTCGTTTCAAAGTGATGATAACGAGTAACCTAAAGATTTGTCAAGTGCATCTGTCGAGTTGACCATCGCACAATCAACTGTCATGTGTGTATATATCAACAATTTATTCGGATTTATAATAACCATGTTTTTTACGCATAATAATAACCGGTTAATATTTTAATAACGCTTGATCAAACAGCATAGAAAAAAAATCATACATGCATACGATACCTAAACTGTATCTCATAATATACAAATGGATGATCTCGTTTTTCTCGTCTTGAACCGGGTTTGTATATAAGATAAAAAACTGCGACAGGTGACATCGGTGTAAGAAAACCACCCAGCAATAATGTAACAGTTTTGTAGACCGAAGGAAAAATACGAATAAATAGTAATATCTCAACGTTGCTGCAATTACTAATTGGCCAACACGTTTTAAGATTATTCGGTTTTAAAATTATTGCATCGTCCTCAGTGTGCATAGATTCACGCATCCGCAGGTGAAGGGTGTTCATTTAATTACTTTAAAGAGACCGAACCAGTTTTAAAATTATCGATTAACTCTATTACATGCTAGGTATTTAGTTTAACATATTTTAATTGTATACATTACTTGTATTTAATTTATAATGCCATAATATCACGCTTGTAGTTTGTCGAACACTCGTTTACATTAAATCATAACAACGTAATCGTAATGTATACTTATAAGCGGCTCGATTAGCAAATTTTCAAATTTTTATGGAGGTATTTAATTGATTTCAAGGCCATTGCGTTGAAAAATTGAGTGTCTAAATTGTTACTACTTTTTTATACTCAATACTTTCCCATGCACGTGGTCTGTGCGTTTTTATTTTTATTTATTTAAAGTTTTAACACCCCAAAGGTGTAATGAGTACAGTTATTAAAGCTATACAAATAGAAATATTTACAAATAAATAATATGTATACAATATATGGAAATCCATAGCAAACGGTACGGTTTTGATTAAAAAAATAAACAGGTCGTTTTCAAGACATTTATATTTTGCCACTAGCAAGTTTTGCAGCAACAGAGAATTTAAACATAGTATTTCTAATAAGAAATTGTGCGTTTTAGCTTATTATTTTTTTTTTTGACGCCAATCGGTCCGTCGCACATTAAGAAATGGAACATTTATTTATCATGAAAAATAATTTTTTATTTACACAGAATAACATGGTAACGACTTGAAACAAAACAATAAACAAATAGGAAACATAAATTTTACAAAATTATATAAATGATTAACAAGAATGAAAATGCCACAATATTAAATAGAATCAAATAAATGTTTAACAGTAAATTTAACAGGTATGAGGGGGATGTTTATTTTCTCTGTCATTATCTTTTTAGTTTGTGTACTATATGCCCATATAGTAGTAGTTACTAATTATTTGTATCCGGTGCAGCAACACGTTAATGTGCACATAAGTTATTTATTTCTTTATCGCCCGCTAAAGAAACTACTTAATTATATCGACATTAATATTGTATTAATACTATATTATCATGTTTATAAGCATTGGATATCGAATAAAAAAAAATATTAGGTATTATACAATATAGTAATATTTCTGTCTACAAAAACAATAACGATTAGGTATATCGTTTAATTTTGAAATTGTTTTATCTGATTTATTTTACTGTATCTTAAAAACGTATCAAACATCCGTACACTTTTTTTATTGTATTTTTCAACGATAAAGAAACGGAACATATTTTATTATATCATGAAAAATGATTTGTTTATTTACACACAACAACATAACATGGTAACGATTTGAAAACAATATAAACAAAATATAGGAAACACAATAATTTTACAAAACAATTATTAAAAAAATAAATTATTACAATAACATTAACGATCAAAAGTATTTACAGTAAATTAAACGGATAGGTTGAAAATGCAAGAAAAGGCAACAATATTAAGTAGAATCAAATAAATATTTACAGTAAAAATAACAGATATGGTGGGGGGGGGTGGGTAGAAGGTGCAAGCCACAAGGGTACGTTAGAAACCGGAATAATAAAATCCTCTGTCGACGGGCTTGTCCGGGTACGGTTGCTTGCTTCTTAGGCTCTTGGCCACGGCCTTTACCCTCGCGACCATGGCTCTGTATTCGGCGTTCCCCGTGGCGGTGCTTTGGCCGAAGCGGGCCGCCACGATCGGTGTCCTACGTACGGGTTCTTGGGCCGGTCGCGTTTCGGCGGGTTCCTGGGCCGGGCCGCTGGCAACGTCGTCGCCGCCGTTTTAGGCTTCGATGGTCGGTGGTTTGACCTAGGTGGCTTCGTACAGAAGTGCGTCAATAATGGCTTTGTACGCACCGGCAACAGTTGACCGTACCCAGCGGTTCAGAGTGGTGGCCAGACAGCCTGATTTCTGGCGGCCGACGTCGTTGGCGTTTACGGGAAACAATTTTTTACAATGCGAGAACAGCTTGTAACAATGATAACAGACCAATGCGGTGGAAAAAACAACGTAAATAATAAGAGCAATTAAATATATGAGAATATAAAAATACATTACATAAAAGAAAAACATTAAAAAACATATAGTATAAAAAATGATTGGCTTTGGAATAAATTTACAAGAAAGACATAGGATTATTAGGAAATATAAAAAAGTTACTAAAATGGAGGAATATAAAAAATAACGGACACAGTCAACGTGGGCGGAATACCAAGAAAAAATAACAAATAATAAATTGCGAAGTGCACTTATACTAGAAATAAAACGATATAAATGAACAAAGACCATAATTAATTGGCATGCAAAATTTAACCCATCCAGAGCCTGTCGCACGTCCGCGGCATCTTCGCCGGCTTGGTCGGCTTTGGACTTGGTGGGTGCCATACGATCTAACACTTTCATAATGCCAATTGACAGCCCGTTCTTCAAAATATTGTACAAAAAAGACATTGCTTTAGGAGAAAAGGTTATTTTTGATAAAGAGAACAAGAGAAATATAAAACATGAAAACGATACACAGTACAATTTTAGACAAGTCAATAGTTACAAAAAAACAACGGCCGTCGTGACGACCGTTAGTTTATTTGCAACATTTGATTGTATAATATAGTAGCCAGACATATTATTATTATATTTGTTTGTTTATCTAAAGTCTTAACACCCCAAATGGGTAACGAGTACAGTTATTAAAAGTTTCACAAAAGAATATACAGCAACAACTTGGGTATTAGATATACAAATAGAAATAATAACAAATAAATATATACACAATAAACACATGTAAGCTTAATTACTATTCAATATATAATATTTTTTAATTTAATTTGGGAATCAAAAGAAAAATCAAAATTAAGTACATTGTCATAGGCATCTAAAATGCGATACTCTGGACTATATTTAATTAAGTTTGTGTAGCATTGTGGTATTAAGAACGGGCGATTATTTCTTAAATTAAAGGTTGGAATTTTAAAGTTTATTTTGCTTAGGAATTCTGGACAGGATAATTTACCATTTATTAATTTATGAATAAAACCTAAGTCGTTATAAACCTTCTAGAGGCCAATGACTATAAACCCAATTCTACATCTAAAGTAATATCTAGAGAGACACGACTTTTTCAAGTTTATTAATTAGGTTTGAGTTTTCAATTGAATTAATTGGTAGATAGAATTTTAGGTCATCGGCAAATAATAGATATTTACATGATTTGAAGGTGGCTCCAATATCATTTATAAATATAATAAACAACAGAGGGTCGAGGGTGGCCACCCTGTGACCTAAACACATATTACTCCATACTTTTATGTATTTCAAATAAATAACAGAATACAACCTATTGATAGAGCAACTTTGGCGTTAGTTTAGTAACACTTTTAGTATAAGACCGTTTACTCTGTTCAAAGTCTAAGGAGTTATACTGTTGTAAATAAAATCACATCCGGCTTATAGTCTGTGGCAAAGCACTACGCCTCTTTTTAAGGACTCCTTCGAAAGGCCCGAAGTCAAAAATAATAATTTTTTATTTGCACATTTTATACCTATGCCAATTAAATTATTTTGAATTGTTACAAGTTTTAACATTGCCTATTGACACTATTTTCCGGGGTTCACTTGTTGTAACCGTTGCTGCTGCTACTGTACGACAATCGACGGTCATTTAATATTGTGTTTAAACGCATAAGACTCCTTCCGGTCCATTGTTCTAACATTGTGTGTAATTAACCCGTGGCGATACGGCTAATCAAGAAAAGTTAACGCGTGCTACCGTAGATCGTGCGATTCGTACAACCATAAGACGTATTCCCACACAAAGCCCGACTATTAGTGTGTTTGTGTTTCTTTTTTTTAAATGCCTACAATTAATAATCGTCACACACAGCGGTGAGTAGTTTAAAAAAAAAATCCTATGATCGCCCCTCGTGTTGACGGTGTGGTTTTTATTCTCTATTAATTTTCTCAACGC